ATTTTGATTTTTCAAAATATACTGTGTGAAAATAATGTTGTATGTCATATTTATACATACTTAAACAGAAACTAGGAAGATTATGTTTCCACTTTCATTTTAAATACCCCTATTTTATTAGAGAGGTAGGGAAGAGAGAAAACTAGTCTAGTGTAGCAGTCCAATATTGACAAGTTCTAAAGTCACACACACACATGCTGTTCTTTCTCTTCTTTTCATTATCTTATCTATATCACTCTTCTTTTTTCCTCTTATTATAACATTATTAGTTTTGTCATGGAACAAATAGCCTTCGTGTCTTCTTTTTTTTTGGCCCAGAATTATTTAATTTCACTTTTTATGTGTGCTCAAGTATTCATCCCCCTCAAGCAATTACAAGTGCCACGTCAGCACAAAGTAATTACATACTTTTACATATTACTTGATAATTATTTCTGACATCACTAAGTACTTTCAAATATAAATGTGCAATGTTGCTAGAATTCAGGATGACAAACCATTTAAATACGTATCTGAAAGAGAATAAACTCACATTGGAAAGCATTTGTATTCTATTTTCTTAATTTGCACATCAAAAGGGAGTAAGTGCATGTGTAGCTAATAGGATTTACTGAACAAAAAATGATTGTTCACAGTAAGTGGTCTTGAGTTTTCCAAAGAAGAGCAATATTAACTGTAGATACAACTTCTTGAAATCACAGAATGTTATCTCATTTTCATTGATTGATTCGTTTGAAAAATATTTATTGGATGTTTACCATTTCCTAGAAATAGTGCTAAATTCTGATGATACTTTGGGGAACAAAAGAAAACTTGGTTCCTATTCTTTTTTATTTTTTTGTCAGTCTGTTGGCATAAAGATTGGTCAAATACTCATACAAATAGATTATTAAAGTTGCAACTTTGTTAAGAAATACAAATGAGTGATACACAGTGACATAAACGCAATATTGAAATTTAACCTAGTCTTTGTTGAGGGAGAAGGCAGAACATTAACTACTTATTCAATATCTGAAGGATGACTAGGATATGAATTTCCGTGGAAATTCCAGGCAAAGACTTCGAGTTTGGAGAAAATGCAGGGAATACATATGGCAGGCTCACAGAAAGGAAGGCAGGGTCTGACACAAGATGCAAGAGACACATGCCCATTGTGGACCATACCAAATATTATGCTTGTTCAAAGAAGATTTTGGGGGCATATTTTTATGGTTTTAAGCATGCTAGAAATATGATCACCAGTTAGAGGCACAATGTCTCATGCCTGTAATCTCAGCACTCTGGGAGGCTGAGGTGAGTGGATCACTTGAGGTCAGGAGTTCAAGACCAGCCTGGTCAACAGAGTGAAACCTCATCTCTACTAAAAACACAAAAATTAGCTGGGCATGGTGGCATGCACCTGTAGTATCAGCTACTCAGGAAGCTGAGGCAGGAGAGTTGCTTGAACCTAGGAGCTGGAAATTTCAATGAGCCAAGATCGTGCTGCTGCACTTCAGTGTGGGCAACAGAACAAAACTCCATCAAAAAAAAAAAGAAAGAAGGAAGGAAGAGAGAGAGAAAGAGAGAGAGAGAAAGAGAAAGAGAGAGAGAAAGAGAGAAAGAAAGAAAGAAAGAAAGAAAGAAAGAAAGAAAGAAAGAAAGAAAGAAAGAAAGAAAGGAAGAAAGGAAGGGAGAAAGAAAGAAAAAAGGAGATGATCACCAGCCTGGGCAATGTAGAAAGACCTTATCTCTACCAGACAAAAATTAAAAATTAGCTGTACCTAATGGCATGCATCCGCAGTTCCAACTATTCAGGAGGCTAAAGCAGGAGTATCACTTGAAGCCAGGAATTGAGGCTCCAGTGATCTATGATTGCACCATTGCACTACAGCCTGACAGAGTGAAATCCTTTCTCAAAAATACAAAAGAAAAAAAAAGGAAATATGATCAGAGGTGAAAGCACCTAGGTGGAAAACTAGGAAGCAATTTAAGAAGCTATTGCAATATTTCAGATGAGAGGCGTATCACCGTCTCATGCTTTCCTTCTAGATAATCCAGGGAAAGCCATTGACAAAATGAATTGGCCTCTTATGCTCCTAATCTTTTGATAGGAGCAGTTTCTAATTAATATTATGTTTTTCAAATATACATACTCAAATGATAATCTAGCTATTTTTAAAAATACTTTTAGTAATATTCTTTATGACATTCACTGTCATATGCTCCTGAAATTCTGTTTACATAAATTTAGTGTTTTTATTAAGCATTTGGAGTCTAAATACAGTTCCAATAGAAATAAGTCAATCAATAATCTATCCTTTTGCATCGTTATGTGTTTCATACAGGATTTTCAAGAAATATTTGTGACTTTCTATAACAATCTTCACAGTACATACACTTTTTTTCAAATAAAGGATTTTATCTAGTTCTTAATCTTTAAAAAGAAAATTATGTTACATAATACTGATGGAATTTTATAAAATTTAGTAGCTTTAAAAAATAGAATATATAGCTTGGAATAGAAAGTTAAATGCTAAAAACATTTATTCTTCAAACAGTAAACTGAAGATAGGACATTGGCCCAGATTGTCCCCTAGGGACCATGTTGTGTTTATCAATAATTTATACCTTTTTATTATTTCTGAGCCTATTTAACATTCACCTGCTGACCATTTGCTGATTCATTCACCTATTCCCCTAGGAACCATTCTATTCCAATATGAAGCAAAAGGCAATGGAAAACAAGAGTTTTTTAAAAGTCACTAGAGAGATTTAAATTTTGGGTCAAAGCATGAGAAGTTGAGCATTCGTGAAATAAAATTAAAGAGATAGGGTTGTGCTGGTTTAATAACAAAAAAGGTAAAAAAAAAAAAAAAAAAAGGAAAATACAGTGTAACATAGACTGGCCCCCTTTCTCACAAAGCCTGCCATGGAACTTACTGAGAGTAGGACTGAGCCAGAATTAGAAAGCACTGTAGACCTAGATTACCTTTATTTGTCTAAGTACTGAGCAGCTCTGTTGTTGGCTTAGATGTTTTGTCATTTAGATTTTAAACTGGATAGTTCATGCATTTTCTTCTTCTTTCTTTGATAGTTCATATGTAGCTTTATTCATAAGAGGCAAAATTCAGCCAGGTGCAGTGGTTCACGCCTGCAATCCCAGTACTTTGGGAGGCCGAGGTGGGTGGATCACGAGGTCAGGAGTTGGAGACCAGCCTGACAACATGTGAAACCCCGTCTCTACTAAAAATACAAAAATTAGCCGGGAGTGGTGGCACGCGCCTGTAATCCCAGTTACTCAGGAGGCTGAGGCAGGAGAAAAGCTTGAACCCGGGAGGCGGAGGTTGCAGTGAGCCAAGATCACGCCACTGCACTTCATCCTGGGTGACAGAGCTAGAATCCATCTCAAAAAAAAAAAAAAAAGCCAAAATATCTTACAACAGGTCAATGTTGAACAGACTCAGCAATAAAAAGGAATAAACTAACGATAAGCACAACGTGGATGTATCTCAATGGTATTGTGCTGAGTGAAAAAAAATCAATCCCCAAAGATCACATACTAGATGATTCCATTCATGTAACTTTCTTGAAATAGCAAAGTTAGAGAGAGGCAAGTTATATTTAACTGAATGTATTTGAAATATTACTCTATTAACACGAAATTTGTATTTAAAAATGTAATGAGTTGCTTTGCATTCTTTTTCATAGTAAGTCTTCAAGGTGCATTTTGTATTTTATATGCATGGTAATTCAAATTTGGATTTACTACATTTTCATTATTTATTTATTTTATTGCATATATATATAAGGTATATAGAATAAGGTTTTGGTATACATATACATAGTGAAATAATTAGTCAAGCAAATTAGCAGCAAATTCCTCACCTTCCATAGTTAACATTACTTTCTCTTTTGAGGAAATGGGACTCAAGGTCTACACTCAGCAAATTTTCATTATGCTTCACAATATTATTAAGTTACAGTCCTCATGCAGTACATTAGGTCCCTCAGTTTACTCATTCTATATAACTGCAAACTTACACATTTTGACCTACTTCTCCTCATTTCCTTCTCCTCCCTGCTTCTGGTTATACCACTGCTCTATCTATTTTATTTTCTGTTTCTATGTATTCAGCTTATTTTTAGACTCCAAATATGAATGAGATCATGCCATATTTGTCTTTCTGAGATCATGCAGTATTTGGCCTCTTTCACTTAGCATAATGTCTATCAATTTCAGCTGTGTTGTCACCAATGGCAGTATTTTTTTCTTTTGTACAGCTGAATAATGTTTCATTATATATGTGTACCACAATTTATGTCCTCATTCATCAATGAACATGCAGGTTAGTTCTGTACCTTGGCTGTTGTGAATGATGTTAGAATGAACATGGGACTGTAGCGATCTCTACAGAATGCTGGTTTCATTTCCTTCGGGTACATAGCCAGCAGAGGGGTTTCTGGGTCGTATGGTAGTTCTATTTTCGATTGTGTGAGGCACTTCCATACAGTTTTTCATAATAACATAATTTACATTTCTGTCCACAGCATATAAGGAGTCCCTTTTCTCAACGCCCTTGCTCACTACATCTTACTTCTTGTCTTTTTATAACAGCCATTCTAATAGATGTGATGTGATATTTCATGGTGGTTATGATTTGTATTTTTCTGATGATTGATAGAGTTGAGCATTTTTTAAACATACCTGTTGGTCATTTGTATGACATCTTTGGAAATACGTCTATTCAGATCTTTGCCCATTTTCGAATGTTTGTTTGTTTTTGCTTTTTGCTATTGAGTTGTGCGAGTTCCTTATATATTTTTGTATTTAGTCCCTTGGTTAATGAGATATTTGATTCAGAAATGTTTTCCATCAATCCTTATGCTGCCTTTTTTGGATTGTTTTCTTTGTTGTGCAGACATATTTAGTTTAACTTTATCCTACTTGCTTACTTTTGCTTTTGTTGCCTGAGCTTTTGGTGTGGTGTGTCAGTCAAAAAAAATCATTGCCAACGCCAATATCAAGGAGCTTTCTAGCCAAGGAGTTTTATTCTGAGAGTTTTATGGTTTCAGGTCTACATTTAGGTCTTTAATCCTTATAATGTTGATTTTTGTGTATAGTGTAAGATAAGAGTCTCGTTTAATTATTTTGTATGTGGATATCCAGTTTTCTCAACACCATTTATTAAAGAGACTATCCTTATCTTCCAAGCCATATTTTGCTTTCCTTTACTTCACTATTGTAAACCAAGCTATTTTCATACCAATGTACATGTAAGTAATCCTTCAGCTTTACAATCTGGAGAAACACAAGTTGTTGATGTTCATTACTCCTCTGCCACCTGCGTTTTCAGGGAGAGGTTCTGCCAGCTCACTGAGGTTTAATTCTTGCTGCGTGTAGAACTTCTGAGATTTAAAAAAATATGTGAATAACTTTGCGAACCGTGATAAAATGTTTATTGATTCAAATGAAAATATTTCTCAGTGTTCACTACAGGTTGAACCTACTGTTAGATACTTCATAAAAATGAATGTGATTGATTTTTACACATGCACAGGAGATTAATATTTGTCCCTTTCATTTTATTTATTCATTCTCATGAATAAATGAGAAACTGAGACTCAGATAAATTAAATTGCATTTGTGGGGTAAAAGATAGGGTGAATTTTAAAAGCAGAGATTTCAACCCATGATTCTCTGACTCTAAAATGAAAACTTATTATATTGCTTTTGGCTTCTGAATTAACCAAAATGATTATAGAATTCTTGAGTAAATGATTAAAAAGTTCTCAACAATATGTTATACAAATTAATTTATTTTACTTTGGGTCTTTTAATATTTTGAATATTTTAGTTCTTATTTATCATTGAATATATATATACATATAATATTAGTATGTTTTAGGTTCCTTAGTGTTTATACACAAAATAATAACTTCAGATTAATTTTCAGGCAAATTTTAAAGTCTTTCATTTTTACTGGGATTGATAATTGACACATTTTTATATTTTAAATTGGTTCTGTTCTATATTGTGAATTATTAGTACTATTATATCAGACATTTATTTATTTATTCCAGACAGGGTCTTGCTCTGTTTTCCAGGCTGGAGCGCAGTGGTGTGATCATGGCTCACTGCAGACTCAACCTTTTGCACTCAAGCAATCCTCCCACCTCTGCCTCCCAAAGTGCTGGGATTACAAGTATGAGCTACTGCACACGGAAAAGCATTGAAATAAAGTATCATGAGCATAAAATTAACCCTGGTGAAATTTAATTAATCTGTAATTTACACAAATAGTCATGCTCTAATTACCGTTTTGAAAATGAACACACAGTATGCAACACTGTTTTGTTGCTTATTAACCTAAAATTTTCTCCCATTTTTTTAATCCAATATTTTATATAATTGAATTGTGTGAAAAGTTTCTGAACTAGTAAAACTCCTGGGTAATATTAACAAAAAGAACCATGTAACATCGCTTGATAATCATTTGTCATATAAAATTCTTAGTCAAATAACTAAGAGTTCAATACAGCACACCAGATGAAAAGTTGATATTGACATAAGTATCTAAATTGCAGATCAACCTATTTCTTAGCAATTTTTGAAGAGTGTCTTTGTTTTCTTTAAGAATATAGTCTTTAAACTATTTGTGATGGTATTTATAAAGGGTAATTATATAAATTTCCAAAACTTATTAATAGTTTTCTAATTGAATAGTGCCCAGTAATTGTGAAACAGTTTACTTGCTTCTGGTTTGTCAAAAACAGTCTCTTTTTCTAACAGTTTCATTAAAGATTCTTTAAATTCCATATAATTCCACTAATTCCTATTCAATGAGGATGCTGTTTTTTGTCTGACCTAGAGTTTTGGATCATATGGACGTGGACCAACCAGTCAGTCAACAGATATTTAGTTCACCACTAGGAAAATAAGGAAAAGAAATTATGGAAGAGTTTAAGTGAAAATGTGTTAAAAAGAGAAATATCTAATTATCTAATTGGAAAATCAGACGATAACATGAAAAATTAGGAAGAAAGCCAACATGTGCGTAGATAATAGTTGAGATTTTCTCTGAAATAAAAAAAAGTCAAGTCTAAGATTTGGGGAACAGAATGATTAGATAGAAAAATGGTAACTGTTCTCCATGTTTGCCTGGTTTTAATTACTCATCTGGGTCCTCTGCCCATGACAGGTGCTCTAATTCTGCCCCTGCTAAGGCTCCTTTAGGGACCCTCAGGAAGGAAAGTAGGCCCTGCACCCCATCTTCTTCTCACCTAGGCTTGTCCTTTATACTGCAGGTCTTTTAAGTTCCATTGTAACCACAACTCTCCGACACTTAAAAAAATAAGCATTTTAATTTATCTGATTTTGTTAATTGTTAGAGTGTTTTTTCATCAACTTCTACAGTCTAACTGGAGGCAGAAGTCCCATTTGTCATGCAATAGTTACACCTTTTTGTATATATGAGATATATCACAGAAAATTTTAATAGAGTCATGTAGATATTTGCTATGTTGTGGTTTAATGTTCAGGAAAAATGTGTCTAAGTGATGAAGATTATTGGTTCCTGTATCTGAAGGAGGGTCTGCCTTCTCCTAGCCATTTTTTAATATACAGTATTTCTCTTAAGTGATACAAATATTGGTTACTTGGGGGAATGTATTTACCATTGTTACTGAGTAAAGTAAAAACTGATATATATGCTGTATGGAGTTCAGAATTTTAAGATATTCTTATAGTTCTGCATCTTTTCTGTGAAATTTCCTTCAGATACCATAGGTTTTCTTTCTTTACTTTTTTGAAGCACATTTTTGAACAGGCTCCTTTTTTTGTTAAAGATCAACTCTTAATTTCTCAACGTGGCCTTTAAGGACTTCTGTGATTGAAATTCTTGCTCTTGAGATACAATTTTATCTGTTATATTTAAAATTCACTACATTGAGTAGTGCACTTTATTTTGGTTTTCCAAATACATCAAGGTATTTTCTGGTTCAAGTTCTTACCTAGATTGTCTCTGGTTCTTGAGGAGTCCCTGCCTTCCTCTATGCCTAACTCTTAAGCATCTTTCAGCATTCAGTGTAAATTTTACTTTCCTAACATCTCATCAAGATCAAATTTTCCTGTTATACCTTCATATCACACACTGTACTTCTTTTTACTTGTTCTTTATAATAGATGTCACCATTGTTAATATATAATTGTTATGCATTTTTGATTTATTATCTCTGTCCCCCATTAGATTGTGGCATGAGAATATGGAGCCTATCTGTACATTTACAATTATCCCAAGTCTTACACAGAACCTGGGACTTAGTATGTACCCAGTAGTTCTCTTACAGGGTCTTATAGGTTAATTTGTATCTCGTATTTGAGTGGTCAAACTATCTTTGTCACTGTTTATTTTTAAACTTTTTCTTTCCATAGGCTGCTTAAGTATTATATTTGTAATAGAATATTTTTAGTTACCACATTTAACCAATTCAAAATAGAATTATCTTTAAGGATTTACTGCATAATATATGTCACTAGAGTTTGTTATAATATTTTCCTATAATTAACTCATATAAAGTAAATTGAGTCTTAAAAGTTTTTTTTTAATCTTAATGTATATCTATAGGATAACTTAGGTTGTGGTATTTTGTATTGATTTTTTTAATGTGTGTCAATATCATTATAATTTATCTGCTTGCTGCATGTCTGCTTGAACTTTGTGGTCACTGACTGATGGGAGAGGTGGAGACAGACAATTTGGTTGAGATAATTGATACACATACCATACAATTTTTGTCCTGAGGATTATCTGATTTCCAAGTGAACTGGCAAATCTTCATTAAAATGAAATTTCAATGCTAATTTTCATATTCTTTAAGTGAGAGTGAAAATTGCTATTGTGTTTCTCGAAAAATATGTATCAAGAACCTGATACATATTTATTTATTTATTTTTTTATTTTTTTATTGAGACAGAGGTTTACTCTTGTTGCCCAGGCTGGAGTGCAATGGTGCGATCTTGGCTCACCACAACCTCTGCCTCTCGGGTTCAAGCGATTGTTTTGCCTCAGCCTCCTGAGTAGCTGGAAATACAGGCCTGTGCCACCTCGCCTGGCTAATTTTGTATTTTTAGTAGAGACGGGGTTTCTCCATGTTGGTGAGGCTGATCTCAAACTTCCGACCTCTGGTGATCCTCCCACCTAAGCCTCCCAAAGTGCTGGGATTAGAGGCATAAGCCAGCATGCCCAGCCACATATTCATTTTTATATAGTAATTTATAATACTCATTCTATGACTAACTAGATACACCCACAGAAAAGTGAGTACTTATGTTCTTATGGCAACACCTTAAATATTATGCAATTTGGAAATGAAGTAAATGTGCATCAGTTTGAAAATGATTATATAAAATTAGTATATCTATACAAGGTAATACTAAACATTCATTCAAAAAATAGCATTTAAGATTCTATGAAGATTTGGAAAATGCTATTGGCATAAAGCTAAGTAAAAGCTGATGCAAAATGGTAGATGCACAATAATATGTAATGTGTCAATTAGATACAGGCATTTTATACACATATACACATACAAAAACATAGCACAATACCAATACGAATGTTATAAAATACTACATGCAATAGTAAAATGATTAGAAATAATTATCTGTCATACATGAGTGTATATACCACACTTACACATATAGAAACATACCTGGAAAGAAGACAGAACACATAGCCAAATATTAGTTGTCATTTTCTCTGCATGGATGTTTTAGGTAATGTTTCTGTTCCATAATAGCCTGTAAAATATATATATATATGTGTGTGTATATATATATGTATACTTTATAAAAGTATACATATATAAATTAAATATTGCTTTTATAAAGACATGGAATATTATTTTAAAAATTGTCTTACTGATAATTTCCAAATTCCACAATTAATTGGTGTATGATGATTTTATTTTTAGTTCCAGGTTTTGTTTCCTTTTTTTTGCTACCCCTTGCTAAGTACTTTCAATATGTAGATATCTGTGTTTTTATCCATTTCACAGATATATACCACACTGAAAATTTTAAACAATTATCTCTTTTTTTTAGATTTTCATTTTTTCTCTTTTTTCACAGTGTATTCAGAAATAGATTTTTAAAAGAACAACATTATTCATATTGCAATTCCCTAGGAGGAGAAAATGATGAGCAATCCGCATGTGATTTTGACTTATGAGGTCTTTGATGACTGCTGTGCCTCACTATCTTTTAAGAGTTATAAATTTTTTGAGTTTTTATCATGACAAGATGATACATGAAGATTGAATTTTTACCTTAATGCTGTATTTGTGAAATGTAAATATCTTGATCACCAAAGGCTTTGCAGACAACTACCATTATAAAAAATCTCTTGTCATTAATAACTTTGGTGAATGATAGAAAATATGTTGGTTAGCAAATAAAGATAATCAGCATATAGAAATCACTGAGCAGCATTATATGTCAATAATTCAACTAATCAACTTGTGAGCATTCTGCATTTCATGTCAGGGAATAACTTGCTCTGGAAAACTACAGAATGATAGCTTGGAATTCTGAATTTATGGAAGGTTGGAAAATAGGGAAAACTTTCTATTTTTAAACCATAAGGCAAAAAATATGGCCATAGAACCAATTTGCCCTGATGTACAGACCCAAATAGTTACTATAACACTGGACAATTTTTTTCTCAAAATGTTCTTTCTGAGCTTCTGAAATAAAATGTTTTCTTTGTTTTTCCCCTATCTCTCTGGTAGTTTCTTTGTGCACTCTTCTTTGGAAAAGAGCCTATGATTGAATAGGAAAAAGAGGGGGAAAGGAGTTATCTCCAGTCACCTCAGCATAAAAATTAACATGAATTTTTTATAATCTTTTTGAGCATAACCCTTGTCATAGATTAAATTGATAACTAATATTAGGCTAGGCTCCAATATTAGGCTAGAGTCCAACAGTGTAATGGAATTAAACATCTAATAATAGGATATTCCCTTTTTCCACATATCCCCGGCTAGCTATTTGCATGTGATTATGATATGTAATACCTTGTATTCAATGTCTCTGTTTCTGTGATTGTCTCCGTGTGGATACTGCACCTCTTTGAAGCTGGGGACAGTAACATATTCCTCATCTTACTTGCTTTGGTTAGCTATGTAACTGTACAATGAATGGTAGCTTTAAAATGACATCGTATTCTCATTTAGTGAATATCTTGAACTCTTGCTTTTAAAATTTAAAGAAAGACAACTGCCTCCACAAAGATACTTGGCATGAGGTCTTGCTTACCTGGAAGGGTGAGATGCTGCCAAACACGTGTTAAAAAATTATCTGACATTTTAATATGGATTTTTAAAAGGATGTGTGTTTACTAGTTAGAGAATAGAGAAACTCTAGGGACAGAAGGCATTAGGGAAATGGGTACTCCTTCCGGCTTTTCTCTACAAGTTATCACCAGATGCTCACAAAAGTCATTGACAAGAACCCTGAAAAGCCTTTTTTTTTTTTCCATAATACACAACTGTGCTAGAAGAACAAAAGCCGCAGTAAGAAATGGAAACTGAGCCACGACTCATCCCCTCCTCCAGATTCTCCCACTGCACTGCAGCTCTCCTATGGAGCAAAAAACCTGACACTATTTGAGAACAGGCAGCAAACTCTGTCACCCTTCAGAAACCAGTAAAAAATACCTTTAAATTGTGGAAGAGGAACAAACCCTCTGCATATGGGGGAGGTAAGAATACAAGCCGGGCAAAAACACACAGCCAAGACTCAGTGCAAGCACAAAGAAGACCTCACCCCAAAGATCCAGGATCACAGTGCCTACCTGTGAATGGACTTAATTACAACAACCTAGAACCTGTACTTTGTCTCCAGTCTGGAATGTGTCAAGTAGCAAGTTATAGATAGAAAAGGTGAAGAGCATGAAGACAGACTGCTCTGAGGTCTGGGACAAAGGGAAGATGCAAAGCTGAGGGTATAGTAGACATTGAAAAAAACTCTGTGGCAAAATAGTCCTTAAATTAAACACAACGTAACATTAAATGCAATATGAAGCCCATTGATATAATTTGACTGTGTCCCCACCCATATCTCATCTTGAATTGTAGCTCCCATAATTCCCACAGCTTGCTGGAGGTAGCCGGTGGGAGTTTATTGAATCATGGGGGCAGTTTCCTGCATACTGTTCTCGTGGTAGTGAACAAGTCTCAGGATATCTGATGGTCTTATAAGGGGTTACTGCTTTTGCTTGGTTCTCCTATTCTGTCTTGTCTGCCACCAAGTAAGACGTACCTTTTGCCTTCTGCCATGATTGTGAGGCCTCCCCAGCTATGTGGAATGATTAGTTCATTAAAACTCTTTTTCTTTATAAATTACCAGGTCTCGGGTATGTCTTTATCAGCAGCGTGAGAAGGGACTAATACACCTGTGTAGCACTAAGAGTAACCATACTGAAATCAACCCTTAAACACAGAGAAAAAGTATCTATTTCAACTTAATGACTCACTCTAAAGTTCTGGTGGATGAAAAGGCATGCCAGTTTCCTGGCATAACTTCAATCTATACCATTCTACCAAGATGTTCAGTTTTCATTTAAAAATGTATGATACATAATTGAGAGAAAAGCCCAGTAGCATATGGTTAAGAGACAAGACAATAAAAAAAAACAGATTCAGATATGAGCTACCTCTTAGAAAAAAATCAGATAAGAAATTTAATCGTTAATATAGTAGAGGATCTGGTAGAAAAGACAGGCAGTAAGAAATGTCTGATGAATAATTCTAGAAGAGAGATAAAAATTACAAAAAAGAATGAGATGGAAATTCTTGATATAAAAATAGAAAGATTGTGTTTAACAACATATTCAACGGACTGGTGAAAAAACTAAATTTGACAATAGAGCAATAAAAAATGTTTTCAGTTTACTCAGGGTAAAATAGAAAGAATAAAAAAGAATGGGGAAAAAAGGTTAAAGTATTTAATATATTTAGGAAAATATCAAGTAGTCTAACAAAATTAAATCCTAAGTGTGAGAGAATGAGAAAAATACTTGAAAATAGCAACAGATTTTTTCCAGAGGCAGAGCAAGATGATTCAATAGAATCCTACACTATTCATCCCTCCTGCTGAAACACCAAATTTTAACAACTATCTGTACACAGAAAAGCATCATCACAAGAACCCCAAATAAGGTGGGCAATCATAGTACCTAGTTTTAACTTTATACCACTGAAGAGGATAGAAAATATGATCTTGAATGGCCAATGTTACTCGTCCCCTATCAAAAGAGAATCTATGCACTTTGCTGAGGGAGGGCTCAGCGATGGAAAGACTTTACTCAGTGCTGCCCTGTCATGACAGAGGGCAAAGCCATGCGGGGCTCAGCCAGCACCCAGTCATGGAGGGAGCATTTGGACAGACCTAGCCTGAAGGGAACTGTATATCCCAGCCATTGAAACTTGAGTTTCTCAGCAAGCCTTGTCACCATAGGCCAAAATGCTCTGGGATCCTTGGTAAACTTGAAAGGAAGTCTTGGACACAATGGCTACAATAGCTAGGGAAATTCTAGTGCTAGGCTTGGCTCAGATCCCGAACACATAGGGTGGCACATGAGGTAGGGGAACACTAGCTGGGGTGGCTAGGGGAGTGCTTGCACCATCTCTCCAACAATCCCAGGCAGTGCAGCTCACAGAAACAAACAAACAAAAAGTAGCCTAATTTTTCTGCCTGAGGAGAGGAGAGTGAAGAGTAAAGAGGACTTTGTCTTTCATCATAGATACCTGCTCAGGCACAGTAAAATAGAGGACCAGGCAGAGTCATGAGGCCCTCACTGTAGGACCTACCTCCTGGATGACATTTCTAGACACACGCTGGGCCAAAAGGAAACCTGATGCCTTAAAGAGAAGAACTCAGTCCTGGCAGGATTCATCTCCTGCTGACTAAAGAACCATTGGGTCCTGAATAACCAGCAGTGATACCCAGGTAGTATACCCCATGGACATTGGACTCTGAGATTTGTTGGCTTCAGGTGTGATACAGCACATTCCCAGCTGTGGTGACTATGGTGAAAGACTCCTGTTTGATAAACCAGAGGGAAAAGTAAAGGGGATTTTTGTCTTGCACCTTAGGTACCAGGTCAGCCACAGTGGGGTAGAGCAACAACCAGGCTCTTATGGTCCCTAAGTTGAGATCTAGGCTCTTAAACAGCATTTCTGGACCTGTCCTGGTCCAGAGCCCACTGCTCTGAACAGTAAGTTGCAGGCTTGGCAGCGTTCACCACAAGCTGACTGAACATCCCTTGGGTTTAAGTAAACATTGGTGGTGGCCTCGCAGAACCGCCATGGGCTGGAAGTTGTGGTGGTCACAGGGAGAGGCTCCTCTGCTTGTGAAAAGGGGGAAAAAGTGCAGGGAGACCTTTGTATTGTGAATTAAGTGCCAGCTTAGCCACAACAGAACAGAATATCAGGTAAATTTCTAAGGTTTTGGATATCAATTGCTAGCTCTCAGACACCATCTCTGGACCTGCCTGGGGCTTGGGAGAACTTATCACCCTGAAGGGAAGAACACAAACCTGGCTGTCTTTGTGACCTTCCGATTGTAGAGCACTAGGACCTTGAGTGAACATAGGTGGTAGCCAGGTAGTAGTAGTTATAGTGGGTCTTGGATGAGAACCAATGCTGTACCGGCTTCAAGTCTGACCGAGCACAGATCCCGGTGGTGGTGGCTATAGGGGTACTTGCATCAACAAACCTTCAGTTCCAGAAAACTAAGGACTCCAAGATGGAGTCTCTCTCTCTGTGTGCGCTTAGCTTTGTGAAACTGAAAGTTTGATAATGCAAAACTCTATTTTCCCTGGATTACCAAGCAGAGACTCTTGTTCTTTTCCCTTACTTTCTCCCAAACAGTCTCCCAGACTGTTTGGGAGAAAGTAAGGGAAAAGAACAAGAGTCTCTGCTTGGTAATCCAGGGAATTCTTCTAGATCTCATCCAAGACCACCAAGGTGGTACCTCTAAAAACCTACAAAAACCACAGTGTTATTGGGCTTGGGACCCAAGTTTATTTGATACCTGGAAAGCCTTCCCTAGTAGGATGGGCACAAGAAGCCCAGACTGCAGAGACTACAATAAATACCTGACTCTTCAGTGCTCAAACACTGATGAACATATACAAGCATTAAGACCATCTACAAAAGATAACCTCACCAAAGGAACAAAATAGGGCACCAGAAACCAATCCAGGAGAAACAGAAATATAGGACCTTTCAGATAGGGAATTCAAAGTAGTTGTTTTGAGAAAAATCAAAGAAATGTAAGATAGCACAGAGAATGAATTCAGAATTCTATCACATAAATGTACAAAAGAAATTGAAATAACTAAAAAAAATTAAGCAGAAATTCTAGCGTGGAAAAATGCAATTGGCATACTGAAGAATGCATCACTGTTTCTTAATTAATAGCAGAATTAATTAAGCAGAAGAAATAATTAGTGAGCTTGAAGACAGGATATATGAAAATACACAGTGGAGAAAAAATAAAAAAGAATGAAGCATGCATCCAAGACCTAGAAAAGTCTCAAAAGGGCAAAGCTAAGAGTTATTGACCCTAAAGTGGAGACAGAGAAAGAGACAGGGGTAAAAAGTTTATTAAAAGGGATAATATTGGAGAACTTCCAAACCTAAAGAAACACATCAACGTTTAAGTAGAAGAAGGTTATACAGCATAAAGCACATTTAACTCAGAGAAGGCTACATTAAGGTGTTTAATAATCACACTCTTTAAGGTCAAAGATACAGAAAGAATTCTAAAAGCAGGAAGAGAAAAAGAAACAAATAACATACAACGAAGCTCCAATACATCTATCAGAAGACATTCAGTGGAAACATTACAGACCAGAAGAGAGTTGCGTGTCATATTTAAAATGCTGAAGAAAAAAGTAAACAAACAAAAATCTTTTACCCCTAGAATATTATATCCTGTTAAAATATCTTTAAAGAATGAAGGAGCAATAAAGACTCCTCCAAACAAACAAAAACTGAAGAATTTCATCAACACCAGACCTGTCCTACAAGAACTGCTAAAGGGAGTTCTTCAATCTGAAAGAAAAGGATGTTAATGAGCAGTAAGAAATTATCTGAGTTACAAAACTCCCATGTAATTGCTTTATCATAATTCTTAAAATCGGGTAATGTCAGTCCCTCAACTTTGTTCTTTTCCTTGAATGTTGTCTTGGCTATTCTAGACTTTTGGCCTCACCATATACACTTTTGAGTTAGTTTGTTAATATCTACAAAATAACTTACTGGGATTTTTATTGGGATTGCATTAAATTTATAAATCCAGCAGAAAGAACTGAGATCTTGACAATATTAAATCTTCCTATTCATGAACATGGAATAACTCTTTATCTAGTTTGACATTGATTCTTTCATTAAAGTTTTGTAGTTTTTCCTTACAAAGCTACAGAATCAAGAATGTGTGTTATTAGCAAAAAGAAAAGATAAGTAGATAAATGGAACAGAACACAGAGCCTAGAAATAGGCCAACATAAATATAACCAACTGCTCTTTGACAAAAGAGCAAAAGCAATACAATTTTAAAAAGACAGTCTTTTCATCAAATGATTCTGGAGCAATTAGACATCCTCATGCAAAAAATGGAAGAAAAAAAAAATCTAAACAGAGCCTTACACTCTTCATGAAAATTAATCCAAAATGGACCACAGACCTAAATGTAAAACACAAAACTATAAAATAGTTAAAAGATAACATAAGAAAACATGTAGATAGTCTTTGGTTTGGCAATAACTTTTTACATGTGGCAGCAAAGGCACGATCCATAAGAAAGAACTGATAAACTAGACTTCATTAAAATTAAATATATACATATATGCTGTTCAAAAGATACTATCAGGAGAATGCAAAGACAAGTTAGAGATGGAGAAAATATTTTCAAAAGACATATCTAATAAAAGATTTAGCTGAAATATATAAAGAACTCAAAATTTCAAAATAAGAAAATAAACAACCTAGTTGAAAATTGGACCAAAGACCCAAACAGATAACTCACCAAGAAGTTCTACAGATGGTGGGTAGACATGTGAAAGGTGTTTCACATCTTTTGTTATCAGGGAAAATGCAGATTAAAACAGCAGATATTGGCTGGGCATGGTGGCTTACGCCTGTGAGCTGAGCACTTTGGGAAGCCGAGGTGGGTGGATCACCTGAGGTCAGGAGTTCAAGACCAGTCTGGCCAACATGTTGAAACATCGTCTCTACTAAAAATACAAAATTAGCCAGGCGTGGTGGCATGCACCTGTAATCCTAGCTACTCTGGAGGTTGAGGCAGGAGAATCACTCAGAACCTGGGAGGTGGAGGCTTCAGTGAGCCGAGATCATGCCACTGCACTCCAGCCTGGGCAACAAAGTGAGACTCGGCAAAAAATAAAAAATAAAATAAAAAAATAAAAATACTAATAGGTGTGAAGCAGTATCTGTTTAATATGGCCAAAATCTAGACCATTGACAATATCAGATGTTGGTGAGGATATGGAGAAATAGAAATTCTCATGCATTACTGGTCGAAATGCAAAGTAGTACAGCCATTTGGACAGTTTCTTGCGAAACTAAATGTACTCTTACTATACAATTCTGCCATCATGCTCCTTGGTATTTGCCCAGGAGTTGAAAAATGTATATTTACACAAAAACCTATACTTGGATGTTTATAGCAGCTTTATTCACAGTTGACAAAACTTGGAAACAAAATGTTGTTCAGTGGGTGAATGGATAAATAAACTGTGGTTTAATCAGACAATGGAATATTTTCAGGCCTAAAAAGAAATAAGCTACCATGTAGGAAAAATCATGGAGGAAACTGAAACGCATATTATTAAGAAACAAGCCAATCTGAAAAGACTACATCCTGTATAATTCCCACATATTACATTCGGGAAAATGTAAAATTAAGGAGACATTGAAAAAATCAGAGGTTTGTGAGGAAGGAGACATGAATATCGAGAGCCCACAGGATCTTGAGGGCAATGAACCTACTTAGCATGACACCATAATGACTGATACATGTCATTATATATGTGTCCAACCCAGACAATCTACAATACTGTCTCAGCCAGTTCAAACTGCTGGAACAGAACTACCATAGACTGGGTGGCTTAAACAACAGAAATGTATTTCTTACAGTTCTACAGTCTGGAAGACTGAGATTGTGGTGCCAGCATGGTTGGGTGCTTAGTGAGGGCTCTCTTCTTAGTTGGTAAATGGTTTCCTTGCTATGTCCTCACGTGGTGAGAGAGATAGTAGAAGCCGACTCTCTTTTGTCTCTTTTAATAAGGGCACTAACATCATAAGGGCTCTTCCCTTGTGATGTAATTCTCTCTCAAAGGTTCCATCTCCAAATATCATTCTTATTGGTGTTAGAGTTTAAAGACAGAAATTCTGTGGGGATACCAGCACACAAACATGGAGTCTATAACACTAAGGGTGAATCCTAATGTACACTATGTTCTTTCAGCGATAATAATATGTCAGTGTAGATTATTCAACTGTAATAAATCATATTCAGTGACAATGATCCTAGGAATGCAAGTCTATTTTGGTGTTTCAGAATCAGTCACAGTAAATCAATATATTAATAGAATAAAAAATTATACAATCATATGAATATTGACAAAATTCAATATTTACTACTGATTAGAAATTATCCACACTTAAGAAGTAAAAGGGGACATCCTTGATTAGATAAAAGGCACCTCAGATAAATTCTACCGATTAGATAAAGTTGTGAAAATGGTGTCTTAATGTGGAAGACTGAATGCCATCTCCCTTAAATTCAGAACAAGGCAAGGATGCATCTCACCCTATTCCTGTTCAACATTGTATTGGAAATTATATCTAGTATAAAAATAAAGAAAAAGAAATGAAACATACAGTTTATGCACCTAAAACCATAAGACAATGATAAAAGAAATTAAAGGCTTAAAGAATTTGAATGATATTTTATGTCTATGGATAGAAAACTCAATAATGTTTAGGTTTAAATTTCAATCCAAATCTTTCCTGGATTTATAATTTTAAAAATTAAGGTGCACAAATTTAAATAGAAAAGAAAAAGAAGTAGAATAGCTAAGATAAATTGCAAAAGAAGTTGGAGGACACACACCACCAATTTCAAGACTTACTATAAAGCTAGGATTATCAAGTCAGTGCGATATTGATGAAAGAATAGATACACAGGTCAATGAAACAGAATAGAGATTCCAGATACATATCAATAAATATTTAGACAGCTTCCATGCAAAATACATTGTTAATAAAATTAAAAAGCAAGCAAATGACTTGTAGAGGATATTTGCAATTTATGTGTCTAACAAAAACTTCATTCCAGAGTATAAAAAGGTTTTTAAATCAATAAGAAAACAAGTGATCCAATAAAAAATAGATGAAAGTTTTGAATAAATATTTTACCAAAGAAAATGTATTCAAACAAGCCCACAAAAATCTGCTTAATGCCATAAGTCATTAAAGAAATACAAATTGATGCCAAAATGAGATATCGCTATACCTATCAGAGAGCATTCTTTAAATTTTCCTCTAAATGTCCTTTCCTATTCATTTCTATATTTGTCATCTTAGGTAGATTACCTGTGGGATATAAATAAACTATTTTTGTGTTTCTCCAAGTTGCAGCTTTCTGAATAAATTTTGCTGAAAACTTGGAATCTTGGGCTAGCATCAAAGCCTTGGGGAAGTTAATTTCCAGCTATACAGTCAGTGAAAAAACTTTATAAGAATTTCTAAGAGATTTACCTAACTCTGGAACTATGTGTTTTCATTTCAAGGGAAAACGAAGCTTGCAACTTTGGATATGTGTCTAGGTCATAAAAGCAAAAGACACTGACACAGGGACTTGTCTGGTCCTTGGTGACATGCATTTACATTCCAAAGGCTAGGGTGAGAACCCAAGTTCCTTTCTATTCAAGGAGCAAAGGTTTCTATTCCTCAGTTAAGGAGGGGAAGGAAAAGGCAACTCTGTCTCTTTCACATGCATAAGCAGATCAATCTATTTCCTTATCTAAAATACAGGCTAAGGTTTTCTGAGACGTGACCTGGCTTTCATTGCATCGCTCCAGGAGGAATAGTAAACCAAGAAATACATGGGAAACTATACCCTCATTATTTGCTTTTTGTGAATAATGATAATCTGTCTGAACTGGAACACCTTGCATTTACATTCAGGATGGAATTAATAAAGATGAATAGTAAAAATGAAACAGTATCTCATCCTAGTCTGATTTCTGGGACATCAGTACTTGGCCTATTTTAAAAGAAATAGTCTATCTTGAAACAGGTTGTGTACATGGGATAAAACTCATTACTACTAAATTAGGCTCTTTACCTGTTCACTTTTTGGCCAATACATATTATAGTTTACAAACCCATATGACCTGTACTTGAAACAAAAAAACTTACAGAGAAGTGTATTTTTTATTTTGAAGTATGCTTAATATTAATTTTTAAATTTATGCATGATAAAATTATTTTTTGTTGTACCTTTCCATGAAGTTTAACAATGCATAAAGTCTGGTATCTACCATCATGATCAAGATGTGGAGCACTTACCACAGAAACTTTACTTATATTACCCCTTTATATAATTCATCCTCACACCTGATTCCACAAACCAATGGAAACCTACTCTCTATGCCTATACATTCACCTTTCCCAGAAAGCTACATAAATGGAGTAATATAGTAGGTAGCATTTGAATCTGGCTTGAAAGAGCCTAGCAAAATGTGGTTGAGATAAAGTCATATCTTTGTATAAACCAATAGCTCTATTTTATATCTGAACAGTATTTTGTGGGCGCACTACAGTTTGTTTTTCTATTCACTGGGTGAAGGACATTTGGTCTCTTTCCAGTCTTGTGCGATTGTGTACAAAAGTGCTGTAAATATTTGTATATAGCTGTTTGTAAATATTTATTTTTCTTGGGTAAATAGCTAGGAATGTAATTACAGTATCACTTAGTAAGTGTATATTCAAACATGTAAAAGTTGCCAAATTATTTTCTAAAGAGAAAAATAAAATTAACTCAAATGGCAAGAGAACAACTGAAATTTTCAGAAGCATCCAAGGCGAAGAGATGATGAATAAAACTGAAATGAAGATACCCTAAGAGTTGTTCATAGAAGGTGTGGTATAGTTGCCATTCCTAAAGTTGAAGTGTCCACTGCTTGCTGATATGTGTCTTTAATTACACAATATACCATAAGTTTGTCTCGATTAAAAATAATTTTTAGTAGCAAACCATACATGTTTTGTGTTTCTTTTCGCCTGAAGGAAGATTAAAGTTTAAAATGGTGACTATATATATAATATATTATATATATAATGCCTCTCTCCCTTTTTCAGGTTTAATCTGGGGAAAATTTAATCAGCTGAATTGAATGTGCTTGTATGCTAACAGGTTAATCTCTCTAATGAAGGGTCATTATGGTTCAACGGGAAAAGATAGAGAAACTCTTTTAATAAGGAAAAATTGAGGTCAAGGCCTCAATTTTTGCATTTAAACCTTTTTAACATTCTATTCAACATAATATTTTAACCTCCTGTTTTAAAGTTGGAAGACTGAAATTATAATTCCGACCCTTTTGAGTTAGGGTAAAAGCTCATGATCTGGCTGAGTGCTACCTTCTAACATGAGTAAATTGGCAGAAAAGAGTAACATTATTAAATGATTCAAATGAGGGTTATTTAAAATAATCTAATGAAAGATTGCCTTTTCAATAGCAAATAATTCAGCCTATTATAATTTCTATAACTAGAGCAGAATACTACAAAGACTGTATTGAATCAGCATTTTAGATTTGAATTTGACTTGTTAGTTATGTTCTTACTGTCTGTTGTCATAAATAAAAAAGATTATTTAACACCTCATTTTGTTATATTCGAAACAAGTTGGCCATCAAAATGTTAGTTTATTGTGATATTGCTAATCAAAAGAAGACCACAAAATACATTACCAATGACTTATACAGTGTGAGTTAACATTTTACTTGTTCTCATTGGATGGTGTTATATTTCATAACACATATTTTTCCTTTGAGGTATATTTATCCTGCCTGATAGCAATGTGATATTCTAGCCAGCCTCTCATCACTCCCTTATATATCTTAAGCCTGTTATAAATCTAGTCCCCTAGACTTCTAGGTGACATCTGTGAAATAACTGTAAGTGCCCTAGTTATTTTATTCCTGTACTTTTGCATACTCCTTGGTTGGTTTCTAAGTAGACATCACATAATAGCCTTATTTAGGCCATATGGAATGAGGAGTAGCACCTTTAGTTAAATAGTAAAAATAAATAAAAGATAAGAAAGAGAAAGCATATAGTAAGAAGACAGGCACTTAGAGTGCCGAATAAAGAATAGGGAAAGAAAGCTATAGTAATGACTATTAAGGGAACGATGCTTCAACTTGGGCCATATTCTTTCTTTGTACTCCAGTAAAACACTCCAGTGGTCATTTGTTTATCTTGGTACTCTCTTATGCTCTGCTTGAAATGCCTTAAATAAAGGGATTGGTTTATCTCCTCTCAACTATATATTTACGTTGCTAGCAGGAGAAGGCATCCTATTTGATGGGGCCAATTATAGCTATTCTTACTAAAGTTTTCCTGGGTGTAGAAAAACCAAAGAAGGCCCTAACTCATTCCTACAACGGTAACATCTGCTTACATGCTTGGAAAAGTGAATACTGATGAAATTTTTTTAAAGCTGTTTTGGGGTTTTTGGATAGAAAAACACATGGTACATGTGATATTACAGCCTCTCCCCAGTGATAGCAATTGATGATCTTTCATGGTATTCTTTGTAATCTGAATCTAGAGACAGCTTCTGAAACTATTGTAGTAGAAATACTAGGGATTCCAGTTGATCAGAGTTTACACAAAAGTGTAGACTTACCAAAAAAAAAAAAAAAAAAAAACCTGAATGTATCTTGTTCTAAAGTCAGAATGATATAAATCATCTTTTGCTCTTTTGTTTAATTCTAGAGTCTGAAAAGAAAGTAATAAACAGTTGAATTTAATTTTTTAAAATTATATTTATCTCAATATTCTGTTAATGAAAAAAGAATGTTATATGGTACAAAGAGGAACTGAAAATTATAATAAAGTTCAAATTGTTTATGTTTCTATTAATTACATGTAGTTTTATCATTTAGTATTATTTCAAATATACTTTGAATGTTTATCATTGTTAACTAATGTATTAGTCTGTTCTCATGCTCCTACAAAGAACTGCCCGAGACTAGGTAGTTTATGGAAAAA